TTTTTGGTCTTTTTTTGTTAATTTAGCAAAAAATAAAAACCCCAGCGATGATTAAATACCACCAAAAGAAAGCTCTAGTTGTGTGAAGAAAATGATAAAATTTTAGTTTGTGTACAATGTTGTATGACTGCGCAATTGTCATTCAAAGTGTGAGAGTGCTGAAACCTGAAAACTGGCCTAGGAGGGAAGGTGTAAAATTGGCCGGTATTGAATTGGTTAAAGTCATGCTCCAAGAAAGTACAAAAACCAGTGTGCTGGAACAAAAAAAAGCAAACTGGACATGACTATAGACACAGCTGTTACTGTTACATTAGCTCATTTACTACAACCATTTTTCATAGCTGTATCTTTGCTTTTCACATTTGGTTTACTTTATTTTAAAATATTGAACTACTTTACATTATTTTTTGCTTTTGTTAATTTATTTTCTTATGGAAAAATATGTTAATTGGGTAAATATCTGTCTGGGAGTCTACAGATGGAATAGAAACATAAAAGGTCACTTTCATCTAGAGATATTTTACATGCTTTACTGAGCTGTTATCAGTATACTCAGATGGGAATTTTCCTTTATTGTGTAGGCTAAATGTACAGATGGAAGAAGCCCAAGAAAAGGCTGCTTCCATCTGGACCTTTGGAGACCAAAAAAGGTAGTGTATTGCTGTGAGTACGGTAGTGGCATGCTGCAGAATTTGCACATTACTGCATACAATGAAGAGGATACTCACAAAATGCAAACCAGGAACTGATTTCTCATTCTGATGAATTTCAAAATCAATCCAGTGATCAATGATGCATCAAAAAATTTGAATGTCTCAAGAAGGTGCTGGTTCTTCTGACCAGGAATATCAATATTAAGCACTACAGCAGGCATATGAATGAAGTGATATATGGCATTTCATTCATATCAAAGTAATTGAACATCTCTTGGATGCAGCAGTGTAGCAAGTCTCCATTACCAACAAAATGCCCCTGAATATTTCACTGATGTGTTGTCCTATGCATGTAATATTTCACCCTTTTTTCTACTATGTGATGACTGGTGAAAAAAAGTTACCCTCCATTCCCCATATAAGAATTTTGGCATAAACTGATTGTCCTAAGCAGTGGAAGAAGGGACTAAAATGCATACATAACCCAGAAAATGTTGTTAAAATGCTCATCACTGCAGTTGTATAGACTATTTTTATATAAATGTGTTGGTCATGCACGTTTTTTAACAAACAATACATTAGTGAAATAATCTAAACCTATATATATAGTCAACAATAAAAAAAGTATTATTAAGTGTTTATGATTTTTTTTTCTATAAATATTTCTATTTCATACAATATGCTTCCAGTTATATGTAGTCCATTGTTAATTGTTGCCTGCAATTATGTGTATGACCTTGCAACTTGCCTGTTGACTTAATGTATATAATAAAGTTATTATGATATATGAATACATACTGTAAATGTATAAAATGGATAGAAATATTTGAACATGACTTTCAATTGCGTATGTGTTAATTTATGTGTAAATTATTTGCTGTGTAGGAAACTGTGATATCTGTAAACAATAGCATATACAATGCGACTAATGTGTGGTTAATCAAACTCCCTAGCCTGTAAGAACAAAAACTATTTTAAAATTTGATGTCTATCTAAAAAGGAACTTTATTTTCTATTTATGTCAGCAGAAGGCATTAAGCTCAATGAGTAATGAAGCTGCAATGACCATAAAATGTCAAATCAATGATGTAAAATTAAAATCAAAATTATAAATTGCATTCTATGGTCTATATGGCAATCATTCTGGGTGTTGGAGATTACTGAACTAAGGATTTCAACATCACTTTCTAGGAAACACTGCTCCTTAGAAAGTAACAGTGCAAACCGCAGGGCCTTCACATTCTGTGTATACTGCGAGGGGAACCTTTTACTACACAATATAATACAAATGACTGTAAAATGACTAAAATTATGACATTATGATTACAGCCTTTAGAGAGCAACTGTATTTGTATTATTCATCTTCTTGCATAGATTTATTATTCTTCCAGTGTCCAAACAAAAAAAACATTTCTACTGTGTTACAGAATACATTTCCTTTTTCTTGGAAAGGAACTGATATTGTTCTATAATTCCTATTCCAAAATGTGAGCAACGTAATGACAATATGATATATCCTGGAGTTAAAATGTTAACAAAACAATGGGCAAAATCTCAAGCCCTTATTATTTTCAGGCAGTTTTTCATGAAACATGATTTGAAAGGAAGCATTAAAAGGAGGATTGTTTTTCATGTGATGTGAACATAAAAGAACAACATTTTTAGAGCTTTAGATTTCAGATTTAAGTGTTACTTTGATGTCCTGGTTTGCATACTATCTACAAAGTAACAGGCATAGCAAATAACACAAATTTGTTATAGTATTCTTTTGGATTACATGGTAAAATGTCCTTTATGTGAATTGTTCTAGTAATAATAAAGTAAGCTCTTATAGCCATTTGCAGAGAACAGCTCTGGTTGTTTCTTTGGCATAAGCCATATAAAACTTAATCAAAGTCTGCCACCTACTGCAGCTAAAAAGAACTGCATCTTTTGCCTAATAACATCCATGTATGCAAGCTTTGGTTACTAATAAGAGAAAAATGATATGCCATATAAGTGCTGCACACAGGGGTGTATTTTGGTTTTGTGCTGTCCTAGGCAAGACTAATATTGCCCCCCCATCTACATTTCTTGCACGACTTGTAACAAGTGCCAAAGCACATCCTATGCCCCCCACACACCTGCAGCCTGCACTCATGTACACCTGTACATGCCACTAGAGCCCATACTCACATTTAACTTGTACAACCATACGCACAGCCGCATACACCTTGTATATTTTGTGTGCAGCCCCCGTGACTACAGTCACATTCACCTTGTACATTTACCTCCTCAGTGTCCCCATAGCAGGGGCGGACTGACCATTTGGAAACTCGGACACTGCCCGAGAGCCCGGGGTCAGTAGGGGGCCCTATGAGATGCCCCTGGTACCTTTTTCATAGGCTTTTTTAGTTTGGGCAAGGACACAGGGGCCCCATGATCCCCTATTGCCCGGGGGCCCCATGAGTTGTCAGTCCGCCCCTGCCCCATAGTCAAAAGCACCTTTTAAATCCCTGGCCCTAAAGTGCCCACAGTCACATGCACCTTGTACACTCCCCCCACCCAGTGTCCACAACTCACTTTGTATATCCCCTAGTGCCGATCCACAGACATTTTTCAACCATCCCCACTGCTTACACTTTTATATACCTTGTACATCCCTGCTTCCCCCTCCAGTGCCCACTTATATACAGCTTGTACATCCCCCCTTCTCAATGCCTATACTAACACACATCTTGTAACCCCCCCCCCCCCCCCAGTGCCTGCACTCCCATGCACCTTGTACACCCCCCACTGCTCATACTCACATATAAGTCCCCGGTTGATGTGAATTGGCATGCCATGCAACTTGTAAAAACAAAAAAAATATTGTATGGTCAACAGTGTCCCTGATTACCGCCATCCCCCCCCACACACACACACATTGGTGCAACTTGGAATGCCCTGCGACTCGCAGGTCAAGTCGCACCATATTGTCCGCAATTACAGTGGTCATGTTGGTGCGGTTCCAACTTGGTCAGAACCGCACCGATTTTCTAAAGTAGTGCTGCACTACTTTTGATGCCACTTTCAAAGACATCTCTATCAGATGTCTCGCAAATCGCAACTGAAATCAGCATGTCATCCTACTTTGAAATTGTGCGACTTCACTGTAAGTCGCATGATTTCAAATTCAGGTTTGGTGTGACCGGGGGGTAACTTGTAAAGCCCCCCAGTGTCGACAGTCACATACGCCTTGTACACCCCCCACTGCTCATACTCATATATAACTTGCAAAGCTCCCCAGTGTGGACTTCAAATACACCTTGTATACCCCCAGTGCTCACACAGTGTGAGCAGTGGGGGGTGTACAAGGTGTATGTGAATGTCAGCACTAGTGGTCTTTACAAGTTATATGTGCATATGACTCATACACAGTGGTGTATTTAGGTTTTGTGCTGCCCTAGGCAACACAAAAATCAGTGCCCCCCCCCCGCAGAGAGAGCCTGACATTGATCAACAACACCCCTGCCCCCCACCCGAGAGAGCCTTCCACTACCACTGCCCCCCATACATCAGCCACCATCACCCATGGCAAGAAAGAGAAAGCCACTCACCTACACAGCTCCGGACATCCCCAGGAACGAGAGTCAGGCTGAACATACACCATCAGGAAACCCGCAGCCTCTCTCGGAACCCACCATGTGTCCGTTCTTCCGTCCCTTCTTCCAAGGGGTAATGCTGCCCCCTGAAAAATGCCACCCTAGGCAAATGCCTTGTTGTAAATACACCTCTACTCACACATATAACTTATATAAAGCCCCCCAGTGCCGACACTCACATACACCTTGTACACCCCCCCCGCTGCTCACACTTCCATTCAATCCCATGAGGAGTGGGTGAATTATACAGTGGGAATCGGAGCTGCCACACCAAGAAGATCACTGTGCGAGGACCGCAGCGGAGCTGGCCATCCTCAGGGGAGATGGAGCTTGGTTGTGACAGTTGTCCAGCCCAGGGTGGCCAGTGGAGCTGCAGGAAAAACAACTCAGGAGCTGCTGAGCTGCCCTGCTCTGAATTCCCCTCACACCTATGTGCCACCCCCCTGAAAGATGCCGCCCTAGGCAAATGCCTTGTTTGACTTGTGGTAGATATGCCCCTGGCTGTACAGGAGAAGTGATCTCTTGATATAACCAGTGCAGTAACACTGGCAGCAGTTTTTTTTGTGTGTAAACTTTAAGGTCAAAGTTGTAACTAGAGATGAGCGAATTATTCAAAAATTCGATTCGGCTGATTCGCCGAATTTGCGGAATAAATTTGATTCGATGCGAATTTATTCGCTGCGAATTTAACTTATTAAAAGGGTTTCTAGGCTTCAGAGAGCCTTTATATTAGTGCAGAACACTGTACCTTTAATTTAAATGCCCTTGGAGTCTGCTGGGGAAGAGAAATATTACTGTCAGTCAGTATGACATGCAGATGAGTGCCGTCGATCTTAGAATCACCGCACACTTCACTCATTTGGGCAGTCACGGGGCACGACGAAGAAGATGAAGAAGAAGAAGAAGAAGAAGAAGAAGAAGAAGAAGATGAAGAAGAAGAAGAAGATGAAGAAGATGAAGAAGAAGAAGAAGATGAAGAAGAAGATGATGAAGAAGATGATGAAGAAGAAGATGATGAAGAAGAAGAAGATGATGAAGAAGAAGAAGATGATGAAGAAGAAGAAGATGATGAAGAAGATGAAGATGATGAAGAAGATGAAGAAGAAGAAGAAGAAGAAGATGAAGAAGAAGAAGAAGAGGAAGAAGATGAAGAAGAAGAAGAAGAAGAAGAGAGAAGAAGATGAAGAAGAAGAAGATTATGAGGATGAAGAAGAAGAGGATGAGGATGAAGAAGAAAGAAGAAGAAGAAGATGAAGAAGAAGAAGAAGAAGATGAAGAAGATGATGATGAAGAAGATGATGAAGATGATGAAGAAGATGAAGAAGAAGAACATGAAGAAGAAGAAGAAGAAGAAGAAGAAGAAGAAGAAGAAGATGAAGAAGAAGGAAGAAGAAGAAGAAGATGATGAAGAAGAAGAAGAAGAATGAAGAAGAAGAAGAAGAAGATGATGAAGAAGAAGAAGAAGATGAAGAAGAAGAAGAAGAAGATGAAGAAGAAGAAGAAGAAGAAGAAGAAGAAGAAGAAGAAGAAGATGAGGATGAAGAAGAAGAAGAGATGAGGATGAAGAAGAAGAAGAAGATGAGGATGAAGAAGAAGAAGAAGATGAGGATGAAGAAGAAGAAGAAGAAGAAGATGAAGAAGAAGAAGAAGAGAAGAAGAAGAAGAAGAAGAAGAAGAAGAAGAGAAGATGAAGAAGAGGATGAGAAGAAGAAGAAGAAGAGGATGAGGATGAAGAAGAAGAAGAAGAAGATGAAGAAGAAGATGATGAAGAAGAAGATGAGAAGAAGATGATGAAGAAGAAGATAATGAAGAAGAAGATGATGAAGAAGAAGATGATGAAGAAGAAGATGAAGAAGAAGAAGAAGAAGATGAAGAAGAAGAAGATGAGGATGAGGAAGAAGAAGAAGAGAATGAGGATGAAGAAGAAGAAGAAGAAGATGAGGATGAAGAAGAAGAAGAAGAAGAAGATGAGGATGAAGAAGAAGAAGAAGAAGATGAGGATGAAGAAAGAAGAAGAAGAAGAAGATGAGGATGAAGAAGAAGAAGAAGAAGATGAAGATGAAGAAGAAGAAGAAGAATGAGGATGAAGAAGAGGATGAGGATGAAGAAGAGAAGAGGAAGAGGATGACAGAAGAAGAAGAAGAAGAAGAGGATGAGGAATGAAGAAGAAGAAGAAGAAGAGGATGGGGATGAAGAAGAAGAAGAAGAAGTTGGATGAAAATAAGAAGAATTCCAGTACAGCAAAAAGTGTATCTGCAAGAGCTCGCTATTTCTGACAGTTCTCTGACAGTTCCTGTCACATTTAACAGCAGTTGAAATAGCGTATCTATTTGTTTCAGAATACACATTTGTTGCCTAAATGGAAACAAATAGAAGGGATGAAAATCGGTCGATCGGGAAAAATTCGATTCGTGCATCCGAAGTTTGCTAATTTTCGGATTCGGTGCGAATCGAATTTTTCCTAATATTCGAAACGAATTCCACTTCGCCAAGTTCGATTCGCTCATCTCTAGTTGTAACATACTGCAGGGGGTGAAAGGATATGCAGGGACATGATGTGTTATTAGAGACAGAGAAAAAAAAGTATAGGGAGAGAGTAGCACATTTCAGAAAACAGTGTCATCTACTGCACGAGGGTTTTGTTCTCTGCAAGCTCCAGAAAAAATGGACTAAACATCCATTCCATATTATATCAGTTTGTTTGTACTACAAGAATCTGCAAGCACACTTGGGGGTTGATTAATAAAACTGGAGAGTGCAAAATCTGGTGCAGCTCTGCATAGAAACCAATCAGCTTCCAGGTTTTATTATCAAAGTTTAATTGAACAAGCTGAAGTTAGAAGCTCATTGTCTCCCATGCACAGCTGCATCGTATTTTGCACTCTCCAGTTTTAGTAAATTAACCCCTTAGGGTGTATAAAAGATAGAACATGTGAAAATAGCACTGCACTATAAATATAAATCAATATAAACATATAAAATAATTACATGTAAAACACTTGAGAAAACACAGAAGTGTATAAAAAGCACAATGTGAAGAAATCAATAGTCAATATAACACATGCAAACCACGTAAATCACAATTTATAAAGTCTGTGATTACAGTCCAAATGCATAAACAAACAATATTGTCCAATAAAAATATCCAGGACAGTTGAGAAACTTTAAGTATCGAACATCTGTGAAGAACACCACCAGAGTCCTCCAATTAAGGTTGCCACCTTTTTCTTCAAGCCAAACCCGAACACTTTAGCAGGGCATGGCATTTTTTTTGTAGTATACACTATACATGTATTTTATGATTAAATAGAATTTCTAATCATAGTCTGCCCTTACAGCAGAGTTCACATAGATCCCATTTTACATCTGAAACTGCAGCATTCCCCTTACATCTGAATCCACAGGGTTCCTCTTATATTTGAATCCACAGAGTTACCTGCTCTGATGCAGGGAAAACTGTGATGTAAGGGGAGTCTCTGGTCACCAAAGCCCCTCCCCCCCTTACATCAGAGTCTGCAGAGCACCCCTTACATCTGAGTGCCCCCTTATACTAGTGTCCTCATTCAGAGGTAGGAGAGAGAAGGGAGGAAGGAGACTTCAGTCACAGACAGGGGATGGATGTGAGATCGCTCACCAGAGGATGGAGGAGGCATCAGGCATCAGCATCATTTTAACTGCTGGCTGCTAGGCTTCAAATTATGGACCACTTATCGCCCTTCTGAAGCACAACACTGCCAGGGATTGGAGTGTGGGCAGGCAGACACAGGACGAGAGAAGCGGAAGGAGGAGGAGCTGATGAAGCTTCTCTCCCCTCTCCTATTTTTGTGGGGAGGGAGGAGGGGAGAGTGGAACTGTGCTGGGTCTGGGCAGTGTGAAAGAAAGTGTAACAGACACTCTCGGCTTACAACTGCAGCCAGCAGCCCACCAGGGTAGCCATAGCCCGGGCAGAATAATGTGTCTGGGTTTCAGGTGGTCTGAAACCCTGGCACATGATTCAAAATCCAGACTGTCTGGATGAATCCCAGATAGGTGGCAACCCTACCCCAAGGGTGTAAGCTCACCCTGATCCTGAAATATAATCTTTATACCAGTGGATAATGGGGGGTAGATTGTGGTACTTGACAAACTAGATTAATATAGAGATGGAATGTCTCTCGTCTGACCACACAACATATGAAATTCTTTGAAAGAACTCAACCTTGGTCTGTAAAGGACAATTGACCCATCTGATTAAGAAAGGAAAAACACTGAGTGTGTTAAATAAAAAGAAAAAAAGGTATCTAATTCCATCTGAATGCAAAGTTCACTATTACTAATACTATTATGATTCACTATTTACCCAAAATCCATAAAGACCAATTCACCTGGTCAACCTATAGTTAATGGCAGTGATTCACTGCGAGGATTGAGAACTGTGGGTTATTTTCTTCAACCCCTTGTACAGAATACATCTTCATATTTGAGAGACAAGAAACATAATTTTGAATTTGTTGAAAGGTATTATTGTTGATCCATATTGTCTATTGATAACTGATGACTCAAGTTCTTCTTATACAACCATAGATCGTTTGGAAGCTTTATCTGTGGTCACATGGCTTTTAGTGTCATCCAATGAGCTGAATTCTGTTAAAAAGGATTTCCTTTTAAGACAGCTGCAATTTGGCCTTGAAAACAATTACTTTTGATTTGGGGCCAGATTTTACAAATAAACCACAGGGGCGGTGATGGGTGCCAAGTTTGCGCCCAGTGTGGTCAATGCCTTTATGGCAAAGTGGGACTCTGAGTATGTGATGAGTGATAAACTCAAACAGCTTTTGTTTTATAAGCACTACATTGACAATATTATAATGGCCTTGAGGAGTTCAGAGAATGACACTTAACATGACCCAATAATAACAACAAAAAACATTGTTTTGAATTATAACATACACCCTACCACAATCAGTTTCTTGGATGTGTAATTGTTTGTCAAAGGAGACCAACTGGTCTTTTTTTTTAAGACCACAGATAGAAATACCCCTATCCAGTTGTCACCACCCTGCTTGGCTCTCCAACAACCCCCATGGTCAATTCCTCAGGATGAGGAAAAATCGCACAGAAGACAAAGATGTTCTTGAACAGTCAAATATATACAATATATATATGATAGATTTTTGCAAAAAGGGTTTGTGGAGTGCACCAGGAATCTGGTATTACAGGACAGAGAAAAAGTGTATATAAAAATATGGTCTTGGAGAAACATAAGGATATTTTGAAAAAAAGTCAAGCATTTGGGGAATATTCTCCCTGATAAGCCAAAAAGTATTTATAGTAAAGCACCTTCATTAGTTAACGCTATAGCTATAAGTGCAAATGATCCCCCAAAAATCAATGGATCCCATTAAACCTACGTTTATGGTGATGTTATATATGTACAGTTGTGACCAAAATTATTCAACCCCCAATGCTGTAAAGGGGTTTAGGGACTATAGTGTACATTTGGAATTGTATTCAGAATCAAATCCTACAAGGACGTTGTAACTACCCAAATGCAACTAAAATGACATCAATTGTTTATGTAATACAGTAGTAAATGGTTCTTATGTGGTTTCTTTCATTGCCACAATTATTCAACCCCTTAAAGACTACCACTCTGAAGAACAGAGGTTCATACAGGTGCTTTCCATCAGGTATTGAAAACACCTGTGGATGTCACCGAGCAGCAATCAAGCATAATAAGCACCAATTAGGCAGCTTTAAAATGACTGTGATACTCAGCTCCTTCTAGACATTTACTGGTGTGGTTACAAACATGGTGAAGGCAAGAGAATGGTCCAGGAAGACAAGAGAAGAGGTGATTTCTCTTCACAGGAAGGGCAATGGCTATAAGAAGATTGCAAAGATGTTAAACATACCAAGAGACACCTTAGGAAGCATCATTCGCAAATTCAAGGCAAAGGGCACTGTTGAAACGCTACCTGGTCGTGGCAGAAAGAAGATGCTGACTTCGACTGCTGTGCGCTACCTGAAGCGTAGAGTGGAGAGAAAGTCCCCGTGTGACTGCTGAGGAACTGAGAAAAGATTTGTCAGATGTGGGTACAGAAGTTTCAGCCCAGACAATAAGACGCACACTGCGTAATGAAGGCCTCCGTGCCAGAACTCCCCAGGCGTACCCCCTTGCTGTCTCCAAAGAATAAGAAGAAGTCGACTGCAGTATGCCAAAAGCCATGTGGACAAACCACAAAAGTTGTGGGATAGTGTTCTGTGGACTGATGAAACAAAATTAGAACTGTTTGGGCCCATGGATCAACGCTATGTTTGGAGGAGGAAGAACAAGGCCTATGATGAAAAGAACACCTTGCCTACTGTGAAGCATGGTGGAGGGTCAATCATGCTTTGGGGCTGTTTTGCTTCTGCAGGTACAGGGAAGCTTCAGCGTGTGCAAGGTACCATGAATTCTCTTCAGTACCAGGAGATATTGGATGGAAACGTGATGCAGTCCGTCACACACCTGAGGCTTGGGAGACGTTGGACCTTTCAACAGGACAATGAT